CGCTCGGCGCCCCACCCCCCCCGAACTTCAGCCGATGGGACCGCTGCTGCCGAACCCCGAGCTGCTGGCTCCTCAAACTCCGCTGCTCTTTGGTTCAGGGCTCCTGGAACAGACGAGCCCCCCGCTCCCCCGTCTCTTCAAAATGGATGAATCAAACCAGCCGAAAATGCGCCAAAGCCGCCGTGCAACCAAACCCACTAGGGTTTGTGCGCTCCTCCCCAACACGCCTGCTCATTGGAGACTTCTGCCAGATGCGCCCAGATCATTAGTCCGTTTGAATCATCACGTCTTCCAGGCCCCGCCCTACTCTCTGACAGGCTCCACCTTCACCGTGGGGTCCTGTTAGTCAAGATGCTCTGAGAGCGCACGGCCGCAAAACAAAAATGGTCGCTGCTTAGCCCGCCCCCTGGCTTCCACTCCAGAGTTGCAGATTCGTCTGGGGTCGTATCTTAGAAAGACTAGAAAAAAAGATTTGTATAGAGTTCAGCGTTGCTCAGTGTTAGTTTAATGGTATTTCATCTCGTGCGCCTTGATAACCTAGAAAATCCTCTAATAGCAAAACCTGTGGGGTAGGTAGCAGATTCGTCACTAAGGGGCTGCTACAGAATTGGAGGGAAATTCCTTAGGTTCAAAAAATTTGACCTTAAACCTGCAAGCCCCTTACCCTGGCTTCAGCATTAGCCCTCAGGGACCTAATCAGGCTGCTGGAGTAAAGAGGCAGGATCATAATCAATGAATATCTTCACCCCCAATTTCCATTCTCCATTCTGGACCTTGAGATCCACTTCAGGGTCATTAAAGTCCCAGTCTGGTACATTACTATTTTAAGAGTCAGGTGTACAATAACTAAAAGCATGAGCTCAGGGGCTACAAGGTATTTCAGTTGGAATCCCAGGTCCATTACTTAATAGTGGTATAACGTTCCTTCTCTGTGCCTCAGTTTCCTCATCTGTAAAATGGGAAACAAAGGTACCTAACCCCATAGGCTTATTAGTATTAAATGAGTTGACATATCTATCAAAAGCCTTTAGGATAGTCTCTGGCTCACAGTAAGTGCTATGTAACTGTTAAATTCAAGTTTTAAAAGATGATTCCATCCCTGGGTAGAGATGGGTGGAGCTGGCCCAAGACCCTTTCAGTTCTATTGATTTACCCTTGTACTTTGAAAAACAAAACAAAACAAAGACTCTCCGAAGTCATATAACTGAAAGTAATGCACATCATTTCACTTAAATCCGTGAGCATTTGCTGGATGCCTAACACTCTCAAAGGCAGAGCTCAGGATTCCTATATGAATGGCTAAGACTGAGTCTGCCATCGAAAATAGACGTCAATGCCTGCCACAGTCAAACCCACCATTTTTGTTTTGTGACCATGCTCTCTCAGAGCATCTTGACTAACAGGATCCCAGGGTGAAGGTGGAGCCTATCAGAGAGCAGGGCGGGGCCTGGAAGACGTGATGATTCAAATGGACTAATGATCTGGGCGCATCTGGCAGAAGTCTCCAATGAGCAGTCAGTTAATAACCAACTGAAGATACACTTTCCAAACAACAAAAAAACACACCACATCTGCCTCCTGAAAGTCTCCCTTTGTAAAATCTGGCTTCTCAAAAAGAAGAGAATAGCACAGTCCACCAGTGAAGTATTAAACAAGTTAATATCTTTTGTCTCTTCCGTGTCATTCCATCCTCTGTCACCCATATTTTTAATTTTTATTTTTTTGAGATGGAGTGTCACTCACTGTGCTGCCCAGGCTGGAATGCAGTGGCACAATCTCTGCGCACTGAAACTTCCACCTCCCGGGTTCAAGCAATTCTCCTGCAGCAGCCTCCCAAGTAGCTGCAATTACAGGTGTGTGCCACGATGCCCGGCTAATTTTTGTATTTTTTTGTGAAGACGGGATTTCACCATGTTGGCCAGGCTGGTCTCGAACTCTTGCCCTCAAGTGATCTGCCTGCCTCGGCCTCCCAAAGTGCTGGGATTTACAGGCGTGAGCCACCGCACCCATCCCCCACATTTTTTTAAAAATTGTGGTTAAAAAAAAATACATAATACATAACATAAATATGCCATTTTAACTGTCTCTAAGTGTACAGTTAAGTGGCATTAAGTACATTCACATTGTTATGCAACCATCACCACGATTCAACACCAGAACTTTCTCATTTTCCCAGACTGAAATTCTGTACCCATTAAACACTAAATCCCCACTTTCCCCCTTCCCCACAACCCCTGGCAGCCACCATTTTACTTTCTGTGTGTATGAACCTGACTGCTCTAGGAATCTCATGTTTGTGTAATCATACAGTATTAATCCTATAGTGATTGGCGTATTTCACTTAGCATAATGGCATCCAGGTTTATCCATGTTGTAGCAAGCGTCAAAATTTCCTTTCTCTTAAAGATCAAATAATATTCCATTGTATGTATATACCACATTTTGGTTATTCATTCATCCATCAGTGGACACTTGGGTTGCTTCCACCTTGTGGCTATTGTGAATGATGCTGCTGGGCAAGTAGGGGTACAAGTATGTTTGAGTACCTGCTTTCCTTTCTGGATATATACCCAGAAAGGGAATTGCTAGATCATATGGTGATTCTGTTTAATTTTAAAGAACTGCCATATGGATTCCCTATCAGCTGTATCATTTTACACACCTACCAGCAATGCACAAGTGTTCCAATTTCCCCATGTCCTTGTCAACATTATTATAGCCATCCTAATGAGTGTCCATGTATGGTGTTTTTTTTTTTTTTAGACAGAGTCTAGCTCTCTCACCCAGTCTGAGTGGCATGATCTTGGCTCACGGCAGCCTCCATCCCCGGGTTCAAGCAATTCTCCTGCCTTAGCCTCCAGAGTAGTTGGGATTACAGGCATGCACCACCACACCTGGCTTTTTGTATTTTTAGTAGAGATGGAGTTTCACTATGTTTGCCAGGCTGGTCTCGAACTCCTGACCTCAAGTGATCCACCCACCTCAGCCTCCCAAAGTGCTGGGATTACAGGCGTGAGCCACCGTGCCTGGCTCCATATATGTTTTGACTAAGTGTATTATCATCCCTACTATTGTCAGAATGCCAGGGCAGAAACTTGGGTGACAGAGTGATCACCAAGTGGCTTTGTCGGAGGCTCTTTTATTAGGCCAAATTGTTATTATTTTAGTAAACATCATTATTTGGTATTGTGAGATGGGGCAGAAGAATTCTTGTTACTCATTTATCAGGTAGTGGACAGAAATGACCATAGTCAACATTTGCAGGCAGGTGGAACGTTCGGAATAGGTCTTCAGGGTGTTGGTCTGACAGTGCAGTGCAAGGCCAATATACAAATGGCCACTGAATGAAGACTCTCCTCCTTCCAAGGTCAGGCTCATATCCTACCTTTCTCTTCACTGCAGCTTCAGCTAACATCTTCCTTCCATTTGCTCATTTATTCACTTAGTATTTCAATCAACATCGTCTCTCAGGGAGGAAATAAGACTTGAATTTTGAGTTTACTTTTTAGTGGACAAGTACAGAACTATGGCCAGTAGTGCCAAAAGAATGTGGAATGTGGTCTCCAAGGTCATTTCCTTCTAACCTGTACCCTAGTGATCTGCCCTGTGTACCTGTCTTAACCATCACCATTTTGCTGGAAACTGAAGAAGGACGCTGATCGTAGGATAGGTCAGGTTTTAGAAGCACTATCTGATAACCCTGAAGGTACAATACGTGTAAAAAACTAGGAGAAACTATGAAAACAGAAAAGCCTCAGGAGACAGAAAAGGCAGAGTTAGTCCTTTTCCCTGGAAATGAAATCTCATGGCCTTTTAAACACAGTGTTTAATTTGCCCCTATGATTTTAGTTGTTTTGAGAAGTACCATTTTCCTTCTCCTTCACATATGTTAGACGGTAAGAACTGGCAGTGCTGGGATGGTAAGACTGATGAGTTTTCCATATACCCAACAAAACCCCATTTCCGTCAAGGGCTACACTATAGCAGCTGAGAGCTTCATAAAAATTTTTCAGCATTGTGTGCTGGGCACTTCCAGTTCTGTGAACTCATGAAAGTCAACTAACCAGGTCTAAAGACAGACACTGCTTCCACTGAGCACAGGACCACAGAAGGGTACCACTCTTTGGAGATGCTGCCAGGAAGTTAAAGAAAGCTTCTCCAAGTCTTATTTTTTAAAAATTTTTTATTTTTAAATCTTCTACCTCCAACCTGCTGGCTCTCTCTGTACTAGAAGACAGGATGGGATAGAAGAACTGTGTGTATTAGGTCAGTCTCTCTACAACCCCAGAGGCTGAGTAGCCTGCTTGGAGATAGATCCATGATTAAAGAGGAAATTTTCCCTTGTCTTCATTTTCTCAAGTGTATATTTCTTTGCTCCAGATTCCCATCTTCCTCTCTACTTTGAATATTAAGAGCTAAGCTTAGGTGAATTTGTACTATTAAAACAATAAGGATATACAACTAGATGTCCAGTTTAAATTGAAGAAAAATACCACAAGAATAACTTACTGTTTTACTGGACACAAAAAAAATCCATAGAAAACTTGCCATTGTAACACTGAGGGAGAGAGAGCTTTATCTATGTAAACCACTGACAAATATTCTGAGGTGAACACTGCTGAAAAGGAAGGCCTCAAGGTAGAACAAAAACAGCACTGAACTTGTAATCACGATTATCTGTCTCCGAGCTCTATAATTTACTACCTTATGACCTTTAGCAAATTTCAAACTCCCTGTGCCTCAGCTCCTTCATCTGTGAAATGGGGATAATTACACTGGTCCTTACCTACTTCACAAGGTTAGCATGATAACAAGAAAAAAAAAAATGGGATCACTTGCGAAAGTAGTTTGTAGACTGTGAAGCACTGTGAGAGGTAGAATGGGATCACCTTCTCTTCACCAAAGGAAAACCCCGAATTCCAACAGCTGACTTATTCCTCCAACAGCATACAACCATCCCTAAATACTGGTAACAGTTAAAAACTGCTCAGCAGGGCGCGGTGGTTCATGCCTGTAATCCCAGCACTTTGGGAGACCAAGGTGGGCGGATCATGAGGTCAGGAGTTTGAGACCAGCCTGGCTAACATGGTGAAATCCCATCTCTACTAAAAATATAAAAATTAGCTGGGTGTGGTGGTGTACACCTGTAATCCCAGCTACCAGGGAGGCTGAGGCAGGAGAATCACTTGAACCCAGGAGGTGGAGGTTGCAGTGAGCCGAGATGGTGCTACTGTACTCCAGCCTGGGTGTCAGAGCAAGACTGTATCTCAAAAAAAAAAAAAAAAAAAAAAAACCAAAACAAAACTGCTCACAGCTTCCAGATGAGATGAAGAAAAGGTGCAGTAATGAGCAGTGATGACCATCAGCTTGCAGCACTGCAATGCATTTTCTGTTTCATACAGAGAGACAATGACATTCTCTACCTCCTAACTATTCCTAGGAGAATTGATCTGCTCCA